CAGTTGGCTCGTCCCAAGACTTGCTTCTGGGACTGATGATTTCATAGATGCTGGTTTCCATATTTCCATTCTGATAAAACTTTCGCACAGTTGCTTCACAGAAGAACTACAGCCATTCTGTTAAGAATTTTCACTCCCCCGATTCTTTCCATTCTGCAGCCTCTGGGCCTTCCATTTACCCTGTCACTACTTTGGGCAGGACCAAGGGGAACTCCAATTCAGCTGCTTTCCCCACTCCTCTCAGCCATCACAAATGGATCCTTCCCAACTCCTCTTGACCATCACAAGTGGATCCAGCCATGACTCCTTCCTCACGCACAGATGGCTTTTCCGTCTTCTCCATTGTCACCTTGCTCAGGTCATCACCGTCTGCATTGTGGAGCCCTCTTTGGTGGCTGCCAGTGCCTCCCAAGGAGGCAGTAATCTAGGTTTTGCTACAGCTTCAGTTTTTTGCTCTGTTCCAGACATTGTTAGGTTACAGCTCTCTCTGAGGCATCCAAGTAGGCTGCGTTAAGTTAGGGAAAGCTGGTTTAATGTCAACCAGTGAACCCAAAACAAGGAAACACTCTCAAGAGCTTTGAATTCCCAAAAGTAAAACTTTATTGGATATACCATATTGGTACTGAACAAGCAAAACCAGCTCTGGTTTCCCCATGCAAATGCTTGCCTAGTTAAAAAAATAGCTTCCCCTTCTCCCCATCTCTGGGTGATCACATTGTCCAATTATGAGACGTCCATTTGTTATGGGAACAATCTATCTCTTTCTCCAACAGCTCAGTGGTGACCTTGATGATTTCTATGCTCTCACAATCTCCTCGTACATTCTAGGCATTCCATTTCTCCCTTCCTTCCCCCCAATTCATTGGCAAGTTTGAAGAAAATCATTATGGTTTGAAAGAAGCAAAGTGGTTCAATCTTGACACAAAGTATCCAGCAACAGACTTATTCAGAAGCTCTGTTTAGGGCATTTTTAGAGAGGCATCATCATTGTGTGTTGTGTACAGCACTCTGCTAACAAAGTCACAGATTTGCTGCAGTCACTTCATGTGAGAAATCTCAGAGCATTGGCTTGCGAACACCAAGGAAGTGCTTAGATGTGCTTTTGAGGGAAGGTTGTTTTGATTAGTGAAGAACTGTTGGGAGAGACTTTCCTCCCTCACTATAACAGACTGAAATAATCAACAAAGTAAGGAATCGAACAACTGCACTATTGGTTGTTTCAATCTATTATGGTGAGGGAAGAGAGTTTGTTCCAGTAGTTCTTCACTTATAGGATGCAATTGGGTTCCTCAATCCCCTATTAATTTTGTCAGCTGGAAAGATTTCAAATGACAATCATGCAGCTATGCTTCAAGCATTAAGTGTAAGCCTATTGCCAAATGCCCAAATCATAATCACATGATTCAGCATCAGTTATAAATACCATTCATTCAGTACTGTTGCAATGTTGAATTGTTGAATGGGTAAGTGAAGACTACCTTTACACAGAGTTCCCCTTTGACACCAGTGTTATTCCTGGATGGGCAACAAATGAAATACTGAGAGTTGTAAAATTTGAAGTAGTACAGGTCTCCATTTTATGAGTGGGCAATGGGATCTGGTACAAATTGCTTTTTTGGCAGCATACACAAGATTAGACTTCTTTCTTCACACATGACAAATAGGAAAATCCAAATATTGATTTTAACAAGGTTCCAAAAAGGAATTGGTATTCTAGGCTACAACTCTCTACTTATCTGGTATCCCAGGCTAATGATATGTTGCTTTCCTAGACAATTGTAATTTGGTCTGAGTTGGCATAACATACCCCATTATTTCCATTTGATGTTGGTTCTATCCCTGATCATATTTAGCTAACAGTTTAGCCAACCTACTGAAAATGGTATAATAAAAGTTGCCACAAATTTTGGATTTGTGCAGTAGACATAATGAAAGACACATCTATGTAACTGTAGCTCCAGACTTTATTGCAAAGCTTTTTTCAAAAAATAATTTTATAGATGAAATGAGACTAAAATAAATAACTATACAAATTCATTTTACAAAATAAATAAAAAACAGTCTATTTTATTTTTTATCTTATAAAATAAAAGATAATAAATGAGGCACTACAGACAAAATCAGCAAGATCCTCCAAAAACACAACATTAAAACAGCATTCTGCACAAACAGAAAAATATCCACCATCCTAAGAAACCCTAAAGACAAAATCGAGTTAGAAAACCAAGGAGTATACGAAATCCCTTGCACCGCCTGCCCCACCACATACATTGGACAAACTAACAGAAGAATAAGTGCACGCATTGAAGAACATAAGAACTCAATCAAAAAAGAAGAACCGACCTCTTTCCTGGTCCAACACCTCAAAGCCACAGGACATGAGATTGACTTTAAAAATACCAGAACTATCGCCAAAACCGAACACTTCAACAACAGAATAATCAGAGAAGCCATAGAGATAGAAAAACGCCCACACAGCATGAATAAAAGAGATGACACCTCCCGCCTACCAGCCATTTGGAAACCCGCCCTCATGAACAGACGAGTACGTAACATGAAAAATGACACCAGACCCACACCCATGAGGGCCACACAAGATGCCACCACCACACTTCCACGTAAAAAGCAGACTCACACCCACACAGAAGATGAGACACGACCACGGACCAGAAGCAGCACTGCAGCTGCATCACTACCCACTTCAAACCCCTCCGAGCCATACATGAAGCGAACTGACCCCCACCATGAAGATGCGGCACGACCACGAACTCGAAGCCAAACAGCAAGATCACAGCTCACCAGCTCAAATCCCCCAGCAACTAAGACTAACCTGAGCACAACCAAGCCCCCACCTGAACAGAACACACCTCCAGCCAATCAGAACACCGCCAAACCCCCAACCAATGAGAACACACCCCCACCCAATCAGAACACAGCCAAGCCCCCACCCAATCAAGTCACACCCCCACTAGCAGTTAAAAGGAAGATGCAGCTGCAAGCTCACATCACTCTGAGAAGCACAGAGCAGAAGACACAAGCCTGAAGATGATGAATGAGACTTCATCGAAACGTTGCCTAGATACTTCCAATCTTACGCGGGAGAAAACCCGAATAACCAAAGATCCACATACAAATACCCGCAAGAACCTCAGAAAATATATATATATAAGATATGTGAATGCTTGCCTTTCAAACAGGAGGGTAGACCAATGGTTGTCATTAGAAACATTTCCCTTCGTTTATATTAGGCTGTCCTCTAAAAGACTTTTCAGACAAATATGTCTTCAAGATGGTACAGACTCAATCTCTCAAAGTTGTCTACGTCAGAATATGCAGGCAGATTAACCAGCTATGTCAGAATATGCAGGCAGGTTAACCAGTTGATAGCGCAGCAAGGAGGGAGGAGTGGGTGATGGGGAAGAGGGGCTTGTCTTTAACCTAATGAGAAATGCAATAGGAGGGAGGGAGGGAAGGAGGAAGGAAGATGGAAAGGGGGAAGGAGTAGGAAGGAGATAAAGGGAAGAAAGGAAAGAAGATGAAGGTGGAAGGAAGGGAAGGAAGGAAGAGTGGAAAGAAGGAGATGGGAATTAGAAAGAGGGAGGCAGTGAAGGAAGGAGACGGAGGGAAGAAGAAAGGAAGGAATGAGATGTGAATGAGAATGAAGAAGGAAGGAAGGACATTGGAAAGAGAGGGAGAGAGAGTCTGAGGAAAGTCCTGCCTTAGCACTTGGCCATCAGCAATCCTGCTGCCCTTTTGTCATGCCTTGCCTCCTCCTCCTGGCCTTTCCTGGTGGTCTCCCATCCTATTGCTGAGGAATAGGTTGTTTGGTTATAAAGCTGAGCCTCCCTCTGACCCTTCCGCACCCACCTGGCCAAGGAGAATGAGCACAGCAGCAGCAGCAGCCTTAAGGAGGAGGTAAGTGCAGCTGGGCACCCTCTCAGAAAAGCAGGGCTGGGCTGGGCTGCGGAGTCCCAGTGCCCCAGGAGCTCGCGAATCATACTAGTTGCTTGCCCTCCACAGCCCAGAGTTCTGGGCAGCCCATGCCACCATCCAGGAGTCCTCCACGTGGCCTGAGAGGGACAGCAAAACTCCTCTGTTGGATTAAGTTTTGGTGTTTGCCCTCATATTGCCTTCCTCTGCTGGAAACCTCCAGATCCCCCTTTCCAGCCTTGTCTAGCCCCCACAGGAAGCAGAGGATGACACACGGAGAAGGAAGTTTACAGGAAGCGGTTTCCTCTGAATCCAACTTCTGCCTTGGCAGATCTCTGGAGAGGAGGAGGGGGTGGTGGGGAAGCTGCATGCAGGAAGAGTGCCCCAGGTCAGCAACCTTATCACACATGTTTGGAAACTGGGATTCCCTTTTGAGAAGGACCAGCTTCCCTCGTGCAGGACCAGGGTGTGCTGGTCCCCTGCCTCTTCCTCTTGCTCTACAGAGATGTGTCAGGGTTCCATCCTGCAACTTGTTCCATCCTGACTTGTTTCACCTAGTCATGGTGACCCAGGTACTGGCCCTTTGAGGGCAACTATAATGCTGATGCAGTCCTCAATGAAATTGAGTTTAACTCCCCTGGTCTAGATCCTAGGATAGTAGTGGAAGGAAGAAGATGGCAAAAATCAGGAGGGCAGGGGTAGGCAGTGGCAGTGGAGGATATGACATCCAAGGGGACGGATATGGTGGGGAAGATAGGATGGTGGAAAAGCTGAAGTGAAGGCAAATGTGGCGGGGTGGTGGAATCTTTTATGCTGAAGGGAGTTCACTGGGCCTAGCTAGAACAGAACAGAACCAGCATTTCATGTATATATCCTTTGCCTAACTATCTAACTACCAAAGTAATTATGCTTTGCCTAAATACCACTTTGCTTAGCGATAGAAATTCCAGTCCCTATTAGGGTCATTAATTGAGAATTACCTTACATAAATTGACTGAAGCTAAAACAAAAGTAAGAAATGTTAGATTCCTTCTTCAGTTTTCATCTTTTGTTTTTTTCTTTCTCTTCAGATCAACAATAAACTCTGTGGTAAAGTTAAAGTACCCCAACAAGTATCCCGAGATGCAGAAGTAGTACGTGAACTGGTTGTTCAAAGTGAACTAGGGAGTGAATACCTTCAAGGAAGAACAATTACAAAGTTTTTCTTATCTCCTCGAACTGCCCTCATCAACTTCCTCATCCAGGATTAAGAAGATATTTCCTTAGAATTGTCTGTGTCGGGTCTCCAACCTTGGCAATTTTAAGACTTGTGGACTTCAACTACCAGAATTCCTCAGCCAGCAAAAGAGACCCCTGGTCTATGTAACTATAACTGTGGCAGAAATAAGGATAAAGATATCCTTATTTCAGGAAAGATTAAAAAAGAAGACCAAATGACCTCATTCAACAGTTTCAAAAGTTAATTTCTCTTTGTAATCTCTATAGATCATATATAATCTTGCATTGCAGACATTTATCTCTAATTACAATGTAAAAGTAAATCATAGATTCCAAAATTAAAATGAAATTAAGTATGGCAAAAATTTCATAATTCTACTATGTCACCTGTCAGCCTCAAGAGATATCCATCCCTACCTATCAAGATATCTCCGCTCCTAAATATGGCTCAGTTCTTGCTATGCTTTTTACTTCTCTTTCGGCTGTCATGAAACGGGGGGAGGGGGGAATCTTCGAAGGGAAGAAGACAGGAGGTGTTTTGCATTCCTTTGCTGGGTAAGAAAAGGGAGGGGGGATTCTTTGTTGTAACTTTCCATTTCTCACTAACCTCTGTCCTCTTATATGCGCAACTGCGAACTTTTATCAAAATATGTCAAGGTCACTGACAGTAGCCTCATCATCACCTAGAGATGACCACATGATCCTATTCAGAAGTTTTAATTGGAAGAATCATTTGATCTCTGGAGGGGGGGAGCAATTCTATCCCTTTGTATATGCATTTTACCCGCCAATATTTTAGTTTCGGAATTGATTCTGTTTGCTACCATTCATTTTCCAGTAAAAGATAAATTCTGCTCTACAGCATGGAGTCTGAGTATTTCTTTCTTGGGATTTAGAAGGAGCACAGTCTGACAGTCACCTTAAAATCTGGTTTCATTCAATGTCACAATTAAAATTTTGTCTATAAAGGTAAGGAAAACAATTGGAGCTATTTATGCTATAAAACAGGGGACAAATCCCCGCATGGGATGGTCCAGCTCACAAGGTGCTTAAATCTGGCTCATGGGACTGGCTGGAAGTATCAAAGGTCCAGCTTATGGTGACTCTACCAGCCAAAATGGGCTGCATGGACACCCCACCTGGCCTGTTTTTGACCTCCCCAGCCTCCAGCAGCACTCTGTCACCGAAAAAGACCCAATGGGTGGCAGAAGAGGTGGCAGAGATCATGCACTAGGTAGGCGCATGGCCCAAAGTCTGCACCGAGTAACCTGTCTCCAAAAACCTGAATTGCAGGAAGACCTTGGCAGCCAAGGTTCATTCCAGGAGTCGGTGAGGGATCGTCCAGTGACCTCAACCAGGGAGTCGAGGACCACAATCCTCGAATGGAGGATGACGGGACTGCTGAACCTGAGTGGCTCTGGAGACTGGAGATACCAGACCACGATGTGCAGCCAGACCTTGGGGGAATTGCCAGAAAGATTCAGTTGACTCAGCCTGAGCAGCTTGGGATGCTCACGCCAGCCCAAAAACACAGGGCTGATCTTGAACCAGCTGACTTTGATGTCCCCCCTTCCCAATGGTCTGGTCTATCACGGCAACATACCAACCAGCCAGCCCTCCGCTGCTTCGTTCCGCGCAGTTGAGCATGGGGATATCTCTTCCCTGGGGGGGCGGTCTATCCCACCTCCCCCCCAAGTCCCGGGCAACTAGTCCTCTGCCATTCCCTACAACACAGTCGAGCCCAGGACTGCAGTAGAGCCCATCAAGAACCCAGATAGCAGCTGACCCACCAGGTCAGCCCCCATTCCCACCGAATATCCACCTTAACCCAGTGAACCCCCTTGCACTGCTGCCACCAGCTCAGGCCACCACGTGGTCCTTTTTCGGCTGGCAGAGTGCTACTGGTCACCAGAGACCCATAAACAGGCCGCATGGGGACCTTGCAGGGCCCTCACACAGCCCATTTTCACCCAGCAGAGTGCTGCAGAAGGCACCCATCCTGTCTCCCCCCACACCCATCCCCCGCTGGCCCATGGAGAACTACAATGCTGATCCAGCCCTTGAAGAAATCCAGTTTCTTCAAGGGTTGCTATAAAAGGATCATTAAGATGAATGAATAAGCTGCAGCTAGAATTGTATATGCTCAACAATGGACGTGTGATGAGATCCTGACAGATGAGAAGGTAATTAAGAAAATATTAGAATGTGCAGAAATGGATAGACTAACACTATCAAAGATAAAGAAGAAACTAAACACTTCTTGACAGATGGAGCTTCATTTCGGCGATACAGCTGTAATCTCGGGGCTCCGAGATCACAGCTGATATTTTCGCCCCCGGTCGGTCCTAACGGACCTAAACCATCCCGTACAGACGGTGACCGTGTAGGGCACATTTCCTGGATCCCAGGGACATCGCAAAGTCTCTGGTTCGATCCGGAAAAAGTCCTATTGCTGGCGGCGGAGAGGCAGCCTCCATAGCTGCTGAAGTCGGGACAGCTCCGGTAAGGAAGAGCTGAAAGTGAAAGTATGTCGGCTGGGTGAGAAACTTTTTTTTTGCTAATTAGCTGAGTTTTGAAAGGACACTCTGAATATAAGAAGAAATCTGTGAGATTTTTCTTTGACAAAATTGTATGAGCGGCGTTTTTAAAAGGGATGTCAAATTGAGGCTTGGATTATTTTTTTTTCTATTTCTTACTTCTTTTTTTTTTTGGAACTTCAGCGCGACTTTGTAGTTAACCGGACTGAATTTTCTCTTATATATATTTGCTCCTTTTTGATTTTTTTATTTTTGTTTTAGGATAAAGGCTCCCTTTGGCTATTGTTTTTTTTCTTTATATATATATATATAAGCCTGATGATGGCAGATGAGATTCTGCTGAAACGTTGCTACAACTTTAAAAGAACAACTACAATGACGTGGGAAAATACCCGAACCAAGCCGAACACCATACATGTAAGTACCCGCGAAAACTTAAGAAAACAAATATCAAACCTCTA